TCCACATTTCCGAGAGGAATACTTAAGTGGCAACGAGAAGCAGTGTCTGTTCTTCAGATTTGTTGGGGAATTTGGTGGTCAACCAACTGTCAGAAAACAGACAGTCGATCGACCCTCCTCCTCACACATAAGGAGGCGCGTTAACTGAAACACTTTGTCAGGACAATGAGATAATTCATGTTTCAACGGAGGCCAAACAGTCCTCCTGTTAGACGCATATAAAGGTGAGTGAGTGATCAACTGCGCATTGCAGTAGTCTCAAGGTAAATGCGTTGACCCTGACCTTGGTAGAGTATAGTGCAAGGCAGACAAATCGGGAATGTGGATAGACGCTGACGAAGGAAGGTTCTCATGCGCTTTGTAGGCTAGTGGGTGCCAAACTGCGCACTGTGGCTTACAGACTTCTTCCCACATGTCTCCGCTGCTTGACCACCGGACATTCTGCATACAAAAATGGCGTTCTTTTTCTCCTTTGAAACGATTTTTAAATCGGCACTACTTGCATTATCCCACTACTGAGTAGTGCGTTGAAACCTGTCAAAATGACTATTGCATGAGTGAGGATTTTATTCTGGCGGGGCCTTGGTGGGTTTCGTGCAGGTGACTTCTGCATCCTGCCACTTTGTATCGAGTCAGCACATATCATCGTAACAGTCTATCAAGCTTTAGTTTGGCGTCGGATGTTTTTGCTTGATTAAATTTGCCTGATCAAATGAAATCCACGAGCCCTAGAACAATCACTTGGTCCTTTGTTTGTTGACTTGTAGGCGCTTTGTTGGCACAAAGCCACACAGCGACCAACCTGGGTGCGAAATTTGATACTCTGGTTTGGGTTTGGTGTTTCACGATTTCGCAAGACACGGATCATGTCCAATAATCCACTAGAGGAAAATGGCAAGGTGAGAAGGGCACAGTGACAACCATCGAAATGTATGATGTCTTGAGTTTTGGTTAAAATGAAGAGGTGACTATACGATCGACTACATCTGTTTTGCCACTAAAGGTCACAATATGCCATTCATCAGCGCCTGGCGGCAAAAAAATACGCATTAGAATAGTTTCATACAGGGGAATCCTCAAAAATGCTTCAAAAGTAATTTGTTAAATCGAGGAAGTAGGAATGCGAGAGAATTAGGGCCCAAGTAAATAAGAACTTCAATGGAATGCAGTGCACTTTAAGGCAAGGTGAGCAGGCAGGATTAAAAATCCGCAATGAAATCTCTGCAGGGATTTTCTCCCTCCTTGTCCTTCACGGTGTGTTAGTTGAATCGGCTGGATGCGCTTGGAGCTAGTGTGCTTTGCTAACCGAGCTTAACCCAATTCCAGAGCTGCAGCAGCCTTCCAACTCGGAAGTGGAGGGGAAGCCGTGAACGCCGCTACAGCAAGTGGACGTAACTCGTGTGCATCAGCAGGAGATGAGGCGAGATGAGTGTCAAAGACTACTACGTGGGAAGGAGTTGTTTGCTCACTGACTTGTGATGAAAAGTGACTTGTATATTGCAACAACAAGCCAGCGAAATATCACTCTTTCTTTCCCAGAAATGATTCACTCACCATCCTTCCCACGCCTGAGGCGCGAACTCACCTGATCCCCCAGAAGACAATACCCTGGCTTCTCGCACCCGACAGTGAACCGCTTTGCACAAGTGCGGCT